GCTAGGCCTTTCTGGTCGGGGAGACCGCCTGGAGGCGGCTGGTGCCCAAAGTGAATGCTCGGGTCGGAGAGGTGGGCCGGAGAGGTTGACGAGCGAGCGCCTGTTTTTGGGTAGACCTTCCGGTTGGTGGCCAGACTGTCCCTCCGGCCCGTCGTGTTTTAGGCTCTTGGGCCGGCCCACGAACTACATGCTGTTTTCCTGGGCCGAGCCCTGGCGTAGAAGCCGGTCCTCGAGGGACCCCGGGTTTATGAACCCGACAGTATCCTATTGTTGTTCTACCTCATTATAGAGAAAGATTGTTTTATGCCATAGTGACTGAGATGAGATATTGGGACATGTGGTCCATTATCTCTATGCTATTTATGCGCTAATAAATCTTGCAAAAGTTTCCGGCTAGATATTATTTTTGCAATGATTTGCTATCTAGTAGCAGCGCTACTCCTACCAAATGTTGATGGATTGAAGTTAATAATATCTTTTGATATCTTAAATAGCACTTGTGGTCCTGGTGTAATCCATGATCCGATTATGTGGATATAATGATTCTGGTTATCTATAAGATCCCTAAATTCTAGATCATTGAAATAGGCTTTACTTGGATATGGAAAGACCATTTTGTGATAGTCTTTAAATAGACATTTAGTGGTCAATTCCATTAATCATTCTGACATTGTATTGTACAAGGCTTCACATGAATGTGTGTAGCTTGACAGAATGATATATCACATATTGAAGTTAGGAGGTGTGTTAAGAATTATTATTTAGTGATCAATTAGGATTTAATCCAAGGGGTGTCTTTTCACCCCTCTCTCTTTCATACTTATAACCGTCCACATGGGCTCCGTATATATATGTACTTCAACAGATAATCATTTGCATCAATCGATCTCTCTCGTTCTCTATTTTCTAACAAGATTGGAAGGAAATACGAAATTACAATTATCTTTTTTTCCTTCTGGCCTTGGGTTTTATTCTTTATTTTTGGGTAGACATCGACAACAATACGAGAAAAAAAATACTGCAGCACCAATGTGTTATATGCAATGATCATAACGGAGTATCAACCAAATAGGGAAACATGACATGTTTGGCCAATTGCTCTCTGTACATATATGCAACCTAGGATTGCGATAGATGTCATTCTTAAGTACTACTTATTAATATTCTAAAAATAAGTACTACTTATTAATTAATTAACAATCGATTAGTATAGCAGCTCCACTAAGAAAAACCTTATAATACCAAATGGTGACATACTGACATACGTAGAACAGCGAATCATGGGAAAAAGTAAATTATTCCTACTTACAGCAAAAAAACAAAAAGGAAAGGACATATATATGCTCGTATAATAATAGAATGAATTTAACAAAGTAGTAGCCCTTCATGTTGTAATAAACGAATTTGCTGTGACTGTAAATGAACAGATAGTCAGATAGTGTCTGAGCAACAACAATTAAGAATAATCTACTCCGTACCTAGGGGAAAATAAAAGATTCCGTAATATGGAATAAAATTCCTCGAACGATAATGAAAGTTAGAAATTAATATTATTTCTTTAGTGTTAGTGTACATGATTAATTAGATAAGTTATAAGAAAGGCATAAATAAAAAAAGTTCCCTTTTAGAATCAGATGTGTGGTAACAAGCAAAGGTGATTAAGAATAAAAAATACGCTATGAACCTTTCGTCCATCGTTTTTTTGTTCTTAGACAACTTGGATTGCCATGGGTGTGGATGTGGCACTGAGAACAATGATTTTATTGACAGCATGTTTAGCGAGACAATAGAATTTTAGTGCCTCAAATTACATATATATGTGGTATGGTGTTTGTGTTTCTCCCTTAAAAGAAACATTGAAGCTCATATGCTACAACTGAGAGAGAAAAAAGCTACAAACACTATGTTAGAAAAAAAAATCATCACTACTGGACTATCACTGCCGATTGTTTTTGGAACCAGCGGTGATAGAGTATCACAGCCGGTTCATGGCTTTTAATCGGCAGTGTCATCTACCATTATCAGTCATGGTTTTAACTGGTAATGATAGTTGGTTTGTGACTTCAACTGCCAGTGTCACCTATCACTGCCGGTTCGTGGCAAGGCCTCAACCAAAAGTGATAGGTCACAACTGTTTGAAGCCACAAACCAGTAGAGATAGGTATGTATCATTATTGGTTCGTGGCATGAACCGCCACGATTGTTTTGCACAAAAAAAATGAGATGGTTTATAAGTCCAAATATTCCATATAATTTCTAGATCATATTTGAGATGATTACTAATGTTGAATGGAGACAAAGTTAACATCAAAGTTGTAGTACTCGACGAGATCTATAACTTTGTTATTAATAACTTTTTTCATTTGAGATCGTTTGGATTGTCAAATATACAATATAAATTTTAAAATTGTGTAGTTAAAAGAACAGTGTCAGCTGTATAATCACATGTGTCGCATAGCTCAACTGTTATGTGCGCTCGTGAACCTTGAAATCTTTAAGTTCGAATCTAAAAAAAATACATATTCACTTGTACAATATTTTGGATACCACCGTTTACAAAATATAGTTTCAATCATCGATCTTTGTTATAACATATTTTTAACACATGAAAAGTATATTATTGTGATACTACTTTTTGAAACATATCGATCATGTGATGAAAAATTTAGAAAGAAACATCACTTATTGTGATTAGATGCATTACCTTTGAAACGGATGCATCAAAGCATGCTCAATCTAGTATTTAGTTCACTGCCACAATTAGGGATGAAAGTGACGCAGAAAATTCTCCGATCCGAATCTGAATCCAAATTTTGAGAAAATAAAGAAGAACTTTCAATATCCATGTGGATATGGATAACCCAAATCCGATGATGTGTAGACAAGTGATTAGTATATGAAATTAGTAAAATTTAGCGGATATGGATTATCCAATGTTTAAAATAGAATATCTGATAACTTCTCTTCCTAATTAAAATCAGACGAATTTAGAATTAAAAAGCTTGTTATTAGTTGGGAAATCTTAGTTTATGATGTGGTTATTTTATGTTCCAAAATTTTAATTTATTACTTGTTGGCTGTTTTTTGTGATAATTTATCATTTGTGAGTGTGGATATCTTACTTTAATTGTATCCGCTTGATAACCACAACATAGAATACAATTCAAGATTACTGTCTACTACTTGCTATTGACTCTTTAGTCTCTACTAAATTAATTCTTGATAAGCTTACAATTTTCTATGTATCCACATATTACTCAACTATTTAAATATGTCTTTGATTCGATTCCACATCTTTGCTTAATTAATTCTTAATAAACATATAATTTTCTACATATACATATATTACTCGACTATATAAGTTTGCCTTCGATTTGATTCCGGTCTATCTTCTTACCATTCTCGACATAAAAAAATCCACATTCACATCTGCATTTGTGTATTATATCCAAATCTGATAAAGAAAAATGCATTAGGACGTGGAAGTGACATTATCCATTTTGATCCAATCTATTTTCTTCTCTAGGCACAACCAATTTTACATCTTTCAAGATGTCTACTAGTAGCAGTAATGTCCCGTTTGGCAGGGCTTCGACTCTAACTTCTCACAGCTCCTTGCAGGGAGCCCTACCAACGGTCATCTGAAAAATGGCTCCTTGCAAGGAGCCTGAATGACCCATAACCATTTTTGTACTACGGGGCCAGAGTTGAACAAAGTGGCTTCTCACAGCTCATCCTCACAGACCTAAATACAAATTATTACAAAACTATCATTGAAGCCATCTTTTACTAACATATTTTCTAGAACGGCTTCAGATTCACTAGAGAAGCTGCTCCATATAAGAGGCAGAACCAAAGTCCTTTTAAAAACAGCCCGAGTGCTACTAAATAGGTTCTAAATAGTAGCATAGGCTCTGATCATAAGTGCTACTCCGATTGTTGATGCTTGATGCTATGCAACTTCTGGTTGCTCTGGTGTGGTTTGTGTTTGCTTGGCTAACAGCAGCAAGAGCAACCAATCAGGGCGATAAAATGTATGATTATTAGTCGCTCAAATTATAAGGGAGTCTTATGTACTTTTTTAAAGACTTTTGTACATTCATTTTTGTAATTAAGGGTAACAAAAAATTTCATTAAGAATAGGGTTTTTACCTCTATAATTAAACGAGCTTTCAACTATCTAGAAAAGTACTCCACTTTCCAGTGGGTTTTATTAAAAAGTTAAAACCGGACCTGCAATGTCACACATATTTTATTTATTTATTTGCAAAGAAGCCGAATCCAACACCCCAAAAAAAGCTGAAAGAAAAGCGAGGGGGAGGGGAGAGAGAGCGAGCGAGAGTAGTGGTGGTGGTGTGTGCGCGAGCGCAACAGAGAGGGAGAGGGGGGAGAGAGAGAGAGAGAGAGAGAGAGAGAGAGTGAGCGTTTTTCTTCTTCCTCCTCCCCCTCAAGGAGAGAGAGGGCAGCTCCGGAGGCGCACGGGCGCGGGCGAGGCAGGCAGGCAGTGGCTCCTCCTCCCCCTCCTTTCGATATCAGCTCATCAATTCGTCCTATCACACAGCTATCATCATCATCATCATCCCCATACCTCTCCTCTTTCTCTCCCATGCTTCTCTAATTCATTGGCGAAAAACAAAACAAAACAAAAAGTCTTTGTTGTATCGGTTTCCGGTATGGTCACGAATCCACGCGCCTTGTTTTCGATTCGTTCTTCCCCTTTGGTTGCCCGTCGGGCGGCTGATTCCTGCAGCTGCTAATTCGTTGGATTTCGATCTGTTCTTGCAGGTGGCGACTGTTGCTGGGGTTTCCTTGTCTGGTTCTTGATTTGCGCCAGGGCGGATTTGTCGTCCACTCGGGTTCCGCCCTGCGGTGCTGAATCCTCGTTCTCTATTCCCTTAGGTGGGTTCGATCTGTTTCGTGCTCATTTATTGGCTCCGGTTCCTCGATCCATTTATGTGACGTTTTGGGGAAATTTTCTCAGGTTTGGATCGGGGGTAGGGATGGAAGTGGACAGAAGGAAGAATTTGCAGGTGAGTAGCGATTCAATTCGTATGTAGAGATTTGTGTGGGCTTATCTTTTTCTTCAGTTCCCCCAAGAAAATTTCATTTCGAAACCTAATGGGTGGCTCCTTTATCGCGAGAAGATTGGATCCAAGGGGAAGGAGGTTCAGAGCAAGAACCCGAGGCGGGAGGAGCCGCTGGCATCGTCGGAGGTGGACATGGATGAGCCAGAGGCTGCCGAGAGCGGCGACATGATTGTTGATGGCAACAATGGCAGCTCCAAAGAGAGCCCCTTGCCGCCCATGGATTCCAAGAACTCCAAGGGCTGTGTGGCCAAGAAGCGGAGATCGGTAAGCGCCGACTTTGGGGAGGAGCTGGACTTGGACCTTGGCAATGGGGAGGAGAGTGGGGCACAGCAGGAGGAGAGGAAGCTCTCTAGGCAGGACCGGGTTGAGCTTTGCCGGTCGTTCCAGCACGCAGTGAGCTCCCATGATTGGGAGACTGCAGAGGGGCTGGTAGGAATGGCCGATGCACAAGGGCTCAACGATGTGCTCTGCGTTGCAGTGGATGCAATTTGGTTCTTGAGTGACAAGGACGAGCTCCTTGCTATTGTGGGGTTGATCAGGAGGATTGTGTCTGAGGGCGTGAAGGATTTTACCCGTGCTGCGCTCCGGACTTCATTCCTCGCATCGTGTGTATCGGCATGTAGGGGACGGTCGACTAGCCTTGCTGATGCAGTGAGCTTCATGGGTCAGAAGTAAGTTTGTCGGAAACAGTTCCAATGGTTACATGTTCACAACTCACACATATTGCATGCTTTATAATTCCAGGAGTCTTACCGAATCCAATAAGTCCACTTAAATAACATATTTGGGCAACTGTGAATCATTGTTCTGTATGTTTCAGATTGCATGAACGGCTTCAAGAATCCCAAGGTGATGAGGTATTGAAAGCAGAAGCAAGTGCAAAGGTGCAAAGGTTTACAGAATGGGCTCTAAAGTGCATCGGGCTGCATTCGCGTGTTCAAGAGAATAGGGGCAAAGGAAACCACGACACTGTCATCTAGGTTCAGCTTCAGTTGTCTGCTTTCAAGACATTTCTTGATCTTGCTGATAATGAGCTTACCGGGAAGGATTTTACGGAGGCCTTTGATGCTGCATGCTTCCCTCTTACACTCTTTTCAACCACCTTCGACCAAGGATGGGCATCAGGAATATTAGCAGCTGCGGTACAAGGGCTTTTAGAGTTGTTGGTAGAGGGTGGTGCAGACAATGTAAACCAATGCTTTCTTGAAGCTGCACGCTATGGCAGCACTGAGCTTGTGCGGATCTTACTTCAGGTAACCTTATAGTCTACTCATGCAATTTGGTTTAATACAAGTTCTTGGTGCAAATATAAGTCATTTTAGGATGTGCACTGGTTTTATTTTGCTTTTTATTTGACCATAAATAAATAACAAATTATGTAGATTAAGAACACAAAATCGAAGGGCGGGCCTGGTGCAAGCGGTAGAGTCTTACCGCCTGTGACCGGAAGGTCCCGGGTTCGAGTCACGGTCTCCTCGCATTGCACAGGCGAGGGTAAGGCTTGCCACTGACACCCTTCCCCAGACCCCGCACAGAGCGGGAGCTCTCTGCACTGGGTACGCCCCCTTTAAGAACACAATCGATATTACTATATTCATCACTAAACAGACTTTTTCACAATGTATCGTTCTTTTTGTTTGAGATAATATGATTTCATAGATTTTACAAGTCACAGTGTTATATTGGATACCATGTCAATGTCCTAAATGACTTCTGCGACCATATGATTATTCCCTATTGAGCAGGTAGTGTATATGCATGCAGCAATAATAAATGGTTCTTGATTGCTTGCCCCACACTGTGGTCCCTGATAGTCATCAGATTCATATCATAGTTAGATGAATACAAAACCTTCTGCAGTACATTATTTACTCTTTGCTAGACAATTTTTCTTTCCTTCGATATTGGTTGGAAATGAGACCTTTTCTTTTTGGGCCATTGCAGTATTGACTTAATAATATATTGGTACAGGACATTCTTCAGTTTCATGTCATGTGTTATCTATTATGAACTATGAAACTTCCAGAACTGTGTATAGATCCATGGTCCTTGCGGATTAGTTGGTAGGATGCTTAATAACCTGATCCATACTCTTGGTGACAAATAGTAGGTTGGTAATGGTACTGGCAGTTGAGGTGCAAGATCTCATGCTTACATCAGAGAACCTCTGACACTTAAGGTTTAGTATAAGTCAGCTTTGTGAGTTTAATGAGATCAAATCCCATCCACTTAAATGTTAGCTCAAGATATTGTCATTTCACTCGGTAATCTTCTCATGGGATATATGCAATAACCAAATTTCTTGTGTATAAGCATAGTGGAGTCATGAACCCACAATGGAACATGTTCCTTTCTTCCTGAATTAAGCCAACCTGCATTGCCTGTTGATATGGTGTTTGTATCAAACACATTATTGTTATAGTACAAGATTAAGATAGCTAACATATTACTGAAGTATCATTGTAATTCATATTACTCGGTGTAGGCCAAATCCAGATAGAGATGCACGTGCATCTTTGTAAAATCCAATAAAGTTTTGCGGTGCAGTCATGCTTTTTAAGTCGTTGCCTAGTTGTCCAGGCGAGTTCCCAGGCTGGGTGTCAGCCTCGCCACGACTGAGCAGGCTATGGCGTCTGCCTTGCGCTGGTTCCAGGTCCGAGCAGCCTAAGGCGGACGCCGCACGAGCGTGGAAGCTGGGGACTAGGCGTGGGAGCGGGAAGATTGGGTTCGCGCGGGAAAAGTGGCGTGGGCATGCCTGTGAGCACGGGAGTTTCACGGGAGCGGAACTGCGGAAGATTGGGCCCTGTGCAGGAAAATGGCGCTGCACACGAAGAGGCTGCGCGCCTGCAGGAAATCGCAAGCCTGCAGGTTCTGCAAGGCCATCGGCCATCTCTCACATGCGCCAATTGAAGGGAAGGGGAAACGGAAGAGGGCAGCGCACATCTGGTTCTTGGTGGCGCGCCTCTTTTGCTCCATCGATTGGCGCCTCCTTCCATCAAATCGAACCTCGTTCCCTTCCTCTTCTCTACTGATTTGCGTCCCTGATTGGTGCCTCCTCTGGTCCTCCCTCTTCTCTGCTGATTGATTCACGGCCCTTTCCCCTCCTCTGTTGGTTCCTGTCTACCTCAGCCAGGCGTTGCAAGGTCACGGGACAGGTGCATATGCAACACTTTCTCTTTTTTCTCCTCTTCCTTTGTTTCTTTACCTGCCTCTCCTCTGCTTCTCCTCTGCTTCCTTCCTCTTCCTCTGCTTCCCTCCTCTTCCTCTGTTTCTTTACCTGCCTCTCCTCTGCTTGTGCTTTGTTTTATCGATACTGAGTGGAAGTGCTCAGGTTTTTGAGTGATATTATGTCATTAGAGACTAATTTGTTGTTATTGAGTGATGGGAGATTTCAGATTTGCTATTTTATGCCGTGCACTAGCACTCTGGTAGCACTACTTATTATGGTATTACATGCTAAAAGCTAGCAATATTAAGATATGATCTTCTTAATTTTAGTGGTATTGTATATATTAAGATGATCGTATGGCGTCGCCTCGCCGCGCGCCTTAGACGCCTAGTCGACTCAAATGGGCGGGTCGCCGCGGCTCGACTTACCGCCTTAATAACCATGGGTGCAGTTTATTGTGGTTGGGCCATTTCTGAATATGAAAGCTTTATAAACTGGGTGATGGGTTCTTTTCCTTTCTTGTGCAAACATTTTGGATGTCGTCATTATGAGGTCGACAGGTTGTCCAATTTTATCATGTGTTTAGTGAGTTTTACACTATTTTATCTCTTGGTGCAAATTTATATCTTAAACAAATGGCAGTTGAAAGCATTTGAATACATTTCATTTTTGTACATCTGTTCAGATTGCTCAAAGAAACAGCTTGGACATTGATGTGGATCTAGCCCTTGGCTTTGCCGCTCACTATGGGAAGATCGAAACCATGGGGTGCTTGGTTGAAGAAGGTAATGCTGTTGGCTTTCTTGGCCCTTTGATGCGTGCTGCTGAACGTGGATGCCTCCAAGTTGTGGAATGGTTTGTCAACCACGGGTGTCAAGAAATGGAGCTTTGTCTAGCCCTTACTGCTGCCACCTCTAGTAGCCAGATTGCAGTTGCTGCTTATCTTCTTCCTCTTGTCCCGCAACATGTTCTTGCCCCCCTCAGCATTGAGATTATCAAGGCTGCTGGTGAGAGGAGTACAGGTTCCCTGCATGGTGTCGATTTTCTTCTCCGCTCGGACTTCCTCAATGACCCAGCTGCCACATATGCCGTGGCAGACAGTATTGCAAGATGTACCGATGAAGCTGTGGATGCAAAGCTTAGGTCTTTCATGAATGAGCACTGGAGCGAGGCAGCCTTTTCTGCGGGATTCGAATCTGCACAACAGCACTTTGTTAATTTCATGAGGATATTGGAAAGGGGTGAATCACCAATCCGCCTAGGGGACCTCCCTCTTGAGCTGGTAATTGCCATGGCCTACCTGCCACTCTATAAGGAATGCATGAATTCCAGTGGGCGACTTTTGCCTCAAAGGCTTAGAGGTCAGCTTGTGGAGGCTGCAAGCAGGCTCGAGGACCGGCAAGTGGAAAGGGATAGCCAAAGCAGAGAACTCTTGGCCATCTTGGAGCACCACATCCCACGATTCATGACCCAAACTTGAAGGTAGGCAGGCATCCACTCTGAACCACTGCTGTCAATGCAAGCAAAAAGCAACTTACAAGGGCAATTCACCGTCTTCAGTGCCGCCACCATGTTCCTGCCTGGGGACATCCCAAAACGATAGCATCTTGAGTTGGCTCTCCTGGAGGCGATCTTCGGAGAGTATATAATTTTGGGGAATGGTGTGTGTGCCTTGTCGAGGCATGTGTCGGAGTGTTTTACTGGGATCATAATCTTCCATGCATGTATTCTGAGTTTTCGGTGTAATTCAACACTAGTCTTGTGACAACATGTCGCTAGTTTTGGCTGGCGACTTTTTTTATCGTGGACTGGCCATCTGTCCTGGCTTTCATAAACATAAACGAAGAGAGCAAGCATATTCATACTGTGTGGAGGTTGCCTTGATCGTGAGATGTGACATGGTTCTGATGATGCACAAGTATGAGCGTCTGATAGCTTCGAATGTTTTTTTTAATGATGCATTCTACTTTCTTATCAGGCTATGTTTACTTTCATTGCGTTTAAACAGGAGAACTAGACATCGCGCAACATAGAAAATGCAGGTCATGCCTGTTGAGGAAAATAGCACCGTTGTTCATGGCTTTCATCTACAAAATACTATCCCAGGTACAAAATAGTATCCCTCTGTAGAAAGGATACAATTTACACTTTTTGAGAAGCCAAATGAATTTATAAGATTGATAAAATCTATGTAGTAATGTACTAACATTTATGATTAGATTAATACTTAATAATTTTTATAGTATATCAATTTGTTAAAAATATTTTTCTATAAATTTAGTTAAAATTAAAGAATTTACATCTAGATTTTCATTTCTTTTGGACGAAGATAGTAAATCAGATTGATATATGTACAAAAAAATACTGAATCAGACTGGCCTACCAAACCGGCCTTAGCATGGCTTAGTTTGAGGAAACAAACCAATGAAAAGAGGTTTATATATAGAGTACAAGGCTTGAATACGTGTGTGTAATAAAATATACCTTTGTTGAATCGGCGTGGCTAGTGCCCGAGGTTTGGATGGAGGCGCGTGTCCGTATGGCCGTGCAGCCTGCCCCAGTCCGTCATCGCCCCACCCTCATCTGGTTTCGCCCTGCCCCACGTGCGCACTCCGCTCCCGTATCTGCGCCTGCTGGTCATTCTTGAGACCCGCTCCTCTCTCCGCGCACGGGCGGCACTCGAGAGCTGTGCTCGGCGTGCCCCCAACCGGACACCACACCCCCAACGCTCCATCTGAAGCCCCCCGCCCCCCCCCCTACGGGCACGTCGCGCGCTGTCCGCCTGCCCCCGGGCTCGTCCCTGGCCGAACCACATAAAACATTTGCATCATAATTTTTTTTGAATGCAACATACGTCCAAAAACAGATGTAGCACTTGCAACATACGTGTAGAACACAAAAAAACATCCAAAAAAATAATACTTGTAACTTGCAACATGAAACCACTTGCTGCAACATAAGACTGAAACAGGTGAAACATTTTGGAATATACTGTTGCAACATGTGCGTGAAACATATGCAACATCCAGACAAAAACGATTGCAACATACGTCTGAGAACAGATGAATCATTTTGAATAAATGCTTGCAACTTGCATATGAAACACTTGCAACATGTGCAATATCCCCTGATTTACTTTTACAACATCAAAATGGAACAATTGCAACATACATCTGAAACGTATGAAACAATTAAACATACATGTGCAACATAGGGGAGGGGAAGGCCGTGGCGGGTCTATTCCAGCCGCCGGGGTCGGAGCCGGCAGCAAGTGGCGGCGTGCGAGCACCGCCGCCGCCGGCAGCGGGCTTGGCTCGGCCGGGCGGACGCACTAGCACCAGCGGCGCGCGCGCACCACCGCCACCAACGCTGGGGGCGAGCGAGCGGCGCCGGATGGGGCGCACGGCAGCAGCGAGGCAGAGTGGCATCCGCGTTCGGGACGGGACGGACGGAGTGGCAGCCGCAAGACGCGGTGGTGGAGAGGAGGTAGCGGAAGGGATAAGAAGGTTTTTTTCTTTTTTTTAGAACGGTTGGGGGCGAGGTCGAGTGGATGAGCGGTCGTTAGTCTGCGTCACGGCCCACCATCAGCACCGTCCGGGCGGACGGACGTTCTATACCCAACATTACCGTTAAACATAATATTTTGACAGAGAGCACAATATAAATCAGCATCACAGCAGCGGTACCCACTTATTAAGATTACAAGTCCACAGCACACAGGCTCCATGCCACTATGAACCATCTTTAAATCAAACAAATGATTAAGGATAGACCTCGATTATGGATCGAACACCTAAGACTGGTATTACTCTGTAACCGCCAAATCCAGCTTCAGAGAAAATCTTGCTCCACTCCTGCTCATCTCGTTCCATGCCACTGACGAGCATGATATAGACATCGAACATGGCCTGCATCTCTTTGTGCTTCAAGTGTGATGGCCCAGCTCCAATTACCATGTCTATGATTATCACCTTTCCACCGGCTTCTCTTGGAGGAATAGCTTTTCTGCAGTTCTTCAGTATCTTCACGCAGGCATCGTGGTCCCAATCATGCAAAACCCACTGAACAAAGCAAATTAATATTCCACTCTTTGTAATAACCAGTCTATGTGTTTGTCGTACTCTCAAGTCTCAATCATATAAGAATGAACACCAAATTTTCCTGGAGACTGAATCACTGAATAATATTAGAAGAGTACTGAGTACGTACCTTCAACAGTACGGCGTCTGCTGGTGGAATGCTCTCAAACATGTCGCCAGCGATGAATTGCACGTCCGTTTGAGTTGGAGCCTTGGCAACGACGTGGGCAAGATCCAGCACGCTACACTTCACGTGTGGGAACGCCTTTGAGATGGCCTGGGCCGCTGCACCGATCCCCCCGCCGACGTCGACGAGCGAGCTTATCCCCTCGAAGACCTCTGCGCCCTGCTGCTTGATGGCAACGTCCACGATGAACTGGCTGTCGGAAGCCAACCCGTCGTTGACTAGCGCATCGAAGGTCGCGTCATGTTTGGTCATCTCCCAGATGGCTCGGCCGTGCGTGTGCTTGAAGACGCACGGGTCTGGGAGCTCGTGCTGGAACCACGTGCCGAGCTCGAAGAAGGGGGAGACGATGGTTGGGCCGAGCACCAGGGCCACAAATGGCGTCTGTGGCTGTGAGCCGATGAGGAGGCGGGATACTGGAGTGAGAGTGTAAACGAGGTCAGTGTCGTCACTGCCATCACCAGCCAGCGGGTGCGGCTGCTGGGTGCTGAAGACATTGGTGGTTGTTAGCACGCGCATCAGGCGACGAAGGTTGGAAACCTTGGATGGGTGGAGATGGACCTTGGTGAGTATCTGGGGTAGGGTGGCGGCGCCGCCATGGAGGTGGATGGCATCGGCAATGCGGAGGTCTACTGCAGACTTGAGCGCCATGGACTTCATGAACGCGAAGGTGCTGTGCCAGAGCTCGAGCTGCGCATCAAGCAAGCTCTGATCCGCGCTGTTATTGGTGGTGAGCTCCATGGTACACTGATGACGATACTGCTAGTTTTCCTTTTGTGATGATGGGTGGACAAATAACCTACATTATGTCTCTTTATATACATGTGCAATACAAGGGGGTTCAAATTAACTGTAAAATTGTGTCTCCATGGTTTGGAAAAAAAAATTGTACTCCCTTTTTTTATAAATATATATAGCATAAACCTCATATATTTTAAAACAAAAGAGAGTAATGAAAAACATATATAGTACACAAGAATGTTGCTTTCTCGTGTGTAGCATGATACACCTACCGAATATTTATATCATGTTGAAGGCAACAAAAGATACCTTACAAACTACAAACTACAAAACAATACGTATTATGGGGCTGTTTGTTGGTTGGTAGATTGATTGGGAAGTTGTCTGGGCAGGCAACCACTACATGGAATTCGATTTCGTCACCCTGGATGGAGATGTCTACTGGCCGTTTCTCTGACTGGGAGACACAGCAACCAAACAAGTAAACAACCTCAGTCCCCACCCAGTATGCAGTTCAATTTTGCTATCCAAAAACCCAGTAAGATGATTGTAATACCCGACCACTAGTGTTTTGAATATTTCAGTTAGTTTGTGCCCCATATGTTCTACTACTCCATCCTGTAAAAAGAGTTACTACGAGACTCGTGTTGGAACTATTTGAAATGCATGGTGAAATATAGCATTATAATTATTTTATTTCATGATTATAGAAGTCCGTAAGTTACAAATATATATATATATATATATATATATATGTATATGTGTATGTGTGTGTACACATATATACATACATATATAGAACTACTGTTCTGCAGCTGGCTATAAAATAACTTACGATCATATATATATATATATATGCATCGTACTTTATGGGCCTTAATTTATTTTTGTAATAATATATACTACTATTTATGTGTACATTTTCAGAGATTTTTGTTTATTTTTTATAATGGCTAAGGTACGTACAAATATAAAGGTAATACCTTATATTATCTTTCACAATGACATGTATGGGTATGTTAAACGCTAACTTAGAACATTACTTTGCATTATCTTTCATAACGATAAATGTGGATAATTTATAAAATTATTAGGAGTTATTTTAAATTATCTTTCATAATGGTAAATGTAGGTAATTTAGATACAAAGTTAGTGGATTAAATTATCTTTCATAATGACAAAGTTGGGTAATTTAGACGCAATGTTAGGGGGTTATTTTAAATTGTGTTTCATAATGACCAAGATGGGTAATTTAGATGCAAATTTAGGGGGTTATTTTGAATTATCTTTTGTAATGGCAGAAGTGTGTAATTTACATAGAAAAATAGGGGGTTACTTTATGTATTTTCATAATAGCAGTGGTAGATAATTTTTTAATAAACTATACTAGATCTAATGGCTATTATCGGTGAAGATGATTAGAGTCTACCAAATTAAAGATGAGATGTTTCTGATTATTGTGAGAATTTCTAGGAT